AACCAGACCGTTTTTCCCAATATATTCCTCATGCACACCACAGGGACTTTATCCCCATCCACGGCATGGGGAGGTCTCGACTGAGCCGGGCCAGCTGGACTGGCAGATCATCTTGTGTTGACGAGCCAGGTGGCCTTTGCTAGATGTGTGTCCCAGTCTTTGAAGGCGCCACCTCCCAACGCTTTCAATGTGGTTTTTAACAGTCCATTGTAGCACTCGATCTTCCCAGAGGCTGGTGCGTGGTAGGGGATATGGTAGACCCACTCGATGCCGTGTTCTTCTGCTCAGGCATTTATGAGGTGTTTTGGAAGTGGGTCCCGTTGTCTGACTCAATTCTCTGGGGTGCCGTGTTGCCACAGGACTTGAGTCTCAAGGCCCAGGATGGTGTTCTGGGCGGTGACGTGGGGCGCTAGGTAAGCTTCCAGCCACCCAGTGGTTACTTCCACCATTGTGAGCACGTGGCGCTTCCTGCGGCGGGTCTGTGGCAGTGTGATGTAGTCGGTCTGCCAGGCCTCTCCATATCTATATTTCAGCCATCGCTCTCCATTTTGCTGGGGCTTCACCCGCTTGGCGTGTTTGATTGTAGCACATGTCTCACATCCGTGGATGATCTCTGCAATGGTGTCAATAGTAAGGTCCACCCCTCGATCTCAAGCCCACCTGTATGTTGCATCCCTACCTTGGTGGCCCGAGGTCTCATGGGCCCACTGGGCTATGAACAGTTCACCTTTGCGCTGCCAGTCCAAGTCCACCTGAGCCACTCTAAACTTAGCAGCTTGGTCTGCCTGCTGGTTGTGTCGATGCTCATCAGTGGCCCGACTCTTGGGTACATGGGCATCCACATAGCGCACCTTCACAACGAGGTTCTCCACACGGGCTGCAATGTCCTGCCATACTTCAGCAGCCCAGACGGTTTTACCCTTGCGTTGCCAGTTGTTCTGTTTCCATTGCTGCAGCCATTTCCACAGGGTATTCGCCACTGCCCACGAGTCGGTGTAGAGGTAGAGCCTCGGCCACTTTTCCCGCTCACCAATATCCGAAGCAAGCTGGATGGCTTTCACCTCTGAGAACTGGCTCGATTCACCCTGTCCCTCAGCAGCTTCAGTGACCCGTCGTGTGGGACTCCACACAGCAGCCTTCCAGCGTCGATGTTTTCCCACAATGCGACAAGACCCATCAGTGTCAGGGCATATCGCTTCTCCTCATCCGGCAGCGCGTTATATGGTGGGACCTCCTTAGCACATGTCACCTCCTGTTCTGGTGACATCTCGGAATCTTTGCTCTCTGGCCAGTCCGTGATCACCTCTAGTATCCCTGGGTGGCTGGGGTTCCCTATTTGAGCCCGTTGTGTTATCAAGGCAACCCATTTACTCCACGTGGCATCGGTTGCATGATGCGTGGAGGAGGCCTTTCCTTTGAACATCCACCCCAGCACTGGCAGTCGGGGTGCCAGGAGGAGCTGTGTTTCAGTGCCGACCACTTCTGAGGCAGCCCGAACTCCTTCGTACACTGCCAGTATCTCCTTCTCAGTTGGTGTGTAATTAGCTTCACAGAGCCTTTGTATCCCCGGTTACAAAAGCCCAGAGGTCGGCCTCGGGTCTCCCCAGGGGCTCTCTGCCAAAGGCTCCAGGTAGGGCCATTCTCCCTGGCTGCGGTGTAGAGCATGTTCTTAACCTCCTGCCCTTCCCGGACTGGCCCAAGGGCTACTGCTTGGGCAATCTCCCGTTTAATCTGTTCAAAGGATTGTTGTTGCTCAGGGCCCCATTCAAAATCCTTCTTCTTACGGGTTACGTGGTAGAGAGGGCTCACAATCAGGCTGTAGTTCGGGATGTGCATCCTCCAGAACTCCACAGCGCCCAGGAAAGCCTGAGTCTTCTCTTTAGAGGTTGGTGGGGCCATGGCTGTTATCTTTTTTATCACCTCCACTGGGATGTGGCGACGCCCATCTTGCCATTTTATCCCTAGGAATTGAATTTCCCTTGCAGGCCCCTTGACTTTCTTTTCCTTAATGGCAAAGCCGGCCTTCAGGAGGATTTCAATGATCTTCTTCCCTTTCTCAAAGACTTCCTTGGCTGTGTCCCCCCATACAATGATGTCACCAATGTACTGCAGGTGTTCTGGAGCCCCACCTTCCTCCAGTGCAGTATGGACCAGTCCATGGCAAATGCTGGAGCTGTGGTTCCACCCCTGGGGTAATCGATTCCAGGTGTACAGGAGGCCTCTCCAAGTGAATGCAAACTGTGGCCTGCACTCTGGCGCTATCGGAATGGAGAAGAACGCGTTAGCAATGTCAATCGTGGCGTACCACTTGGCTGCCTTCGACTCCAGTTCATACTGGAGCTCCAGCATGTCCAGCACTGCAGCACTCATTGCCGGCGTCACTTCATTCAGGCCACGGTAGTCCACAGTTAGCCTCCATTCACCATTAGGCTTTCTCACTGGCCATACAGGGCTGTTGAAGGGGGAATGAGTTTTGCTGATCACCTTCTGGCTTTCTAGTTGATGGATCAGCTGATGGATGGAGACCAGGGAATCTCGGTTGGTGCGGTACTGCCACTGCTGCACCATCCTGGGAGCAATCGGCACTCGCTGCTCCTCAACGTTAAGCCGCCCCATCACTGAGGGATCCTCTGAGAGGCCGGGTAAGGTGGACAACTGTTCAACCTCCTCCAGGGCAGCTACACCAAAAGCCCACCGGTACCCTTTTGGGTCTCTGAAGTACCCTCTGCTGAGATAGTCTATGCCCAGGATGCACGGGGCGTCTGGGCCAGTCACAATGGGGTGCTTATGCCAGTCCTTCCCAGTCAGGCTAACTTCAGCTCCCAGTAGGGTCAGCTGTTGGGATCCCCCTGTCACTCCGGAGATGCAGATGGATTCAACCCCACTGTAGCTCGATGGCATCAGGGTGCACTGTGCGCCAGTGTCCACCAAAGCCTTATACTCTTGCGGGTCTGACGTGCCAGGCCATCGGATCCACACTGTCCAGTAAATCCCATTATCCCTTTCCTCCACCTGGCTGGAGGTAGGGCCCCTCTAATCCTGCTCATCATCACTCACTTCTTGTAAGAATGATTTACTGGTCCCCTCAAGAGGGTCAGACACAACGTTCACCATTCTATTCTGCCGGGGGAGATTTCTGACTGGACACTGGAGCTGCGCTCCTCTTGGAGGACTCCCCTTTTGTGATGGTCTTCCCTTTCAGCTGCTCTACTCGTGCAGCTAGGGCGGCAGTGGGCTGTCCATCCCACCTCCTCATGTTTTCTCCATGGTCGCGGAGGAAAAACCACAGGGTGCCTCGTGGTGTGTACCTTCTGCTGCCTTTCTCTTGGGTGGGGAAACGTTTACTTCTAATGGCTGAGACATCAGCCCGTGCAGGTAGAACGTAGGACATGTCCTCTTCCATTTTCTGGAGCCTCTGAGACAGTTCCTCCACAGCTGAGACCAGGGAATGTTGAGATGAGGGGAGATTTCCCTCATATTGCTGGAGCTTGCCAACCACTCCATCCACTGTCAGAGTGAGGGTGTCTGTCCACCAGGACACTATTGCCAATGCTTTCGAGTGTGCTTCTGGTGCGCACTTCAGGAACTTTCGCCACATCAGGTGTGTGCGAGGGGCCTGATCTGGGTCCATGGGTGACGGCTCATCATTCAGATCACCATAGATCATCTCCAACACAGCCAGTCCCCTGAGGCTCTGGATGCCTTTCTCAATGCTGGTCCATTTGCCCAGCTGACATAGGATGTCATCCCTGTAGGGGTACCTCTCCCTTACACCGAGCAGGAGTCGCTTCCAAAGGCTGAGGGTTTGAGCCTGTTTCCCTATTTCCCTATCAATGCCAGCATCCTTGGCCAAAGATCCCAGCTGTTTGGCCTCTCTCCCCTCCATCTCAAAAGCACTGGCTCAATTGTCCCAGCATCGGAGCAGCCAGGTGCAAATCTGCTCGCCTCCCAGGCGGCTGAAATCTCTCCGCATATCTCGCAGCTCAGTCAGGGACAGAGATTGGACGATCACCTCTGGTCCTTCCTCCTGTTCCCATGCTGGGCCTGACTCTTCCCCATCCCTCACTCCGCGAGCTGACTTTCTGGTGTATTTGGTTTTCTGTATCGGGGCGACTGACACTGGCACTGCCTGGCTCTCTGGCTCAGTCTGTGCTGGTGGAGGCGACTGACACTGGCTCTGCCTGTGCCCCCGGTTCAGATATTGTTTGTGTGGCCTTTTCTTCCCTTTGAGGGCAGGGGGTGGTGTTAAAGAGGACACGGTACGCATGGTCAAGTCCCCAACACATTGCAGCGATTTGTGTCTCCTGGGTGTTGCCGGTTTGGTAGCACACCCTTTCTAAGCACTCCATCAGCTTATCAGGGCTCTGCATTTGCTCAGGAGTGAAATTCCAGAGCATTGGAGGTGCCCACCGACTCAGGCCTTTGCCCATCTCTTCCCACACCCCTTGCCACTCACTATTATCTGGCCTCAGGGCAGGTTTCTAGGCACTGCTATTGTTAGAGAAGTGTCACATAGCTCAAAACCAAAATCAGGCAGCCATTCAGAAGGCACTGTGCCACAATCATGCTGGCTTGCAGGCTCCAAGGAGATCTGAACCGCCCCAAAGCCGAGAGGATCTCTTCCCCTGGCTCACACACAGAGGGGGTGAGACCCCTAACAAAAGCCCAAACGGCAAACAGGTACCAGCCCACCCCCACGCACAGAGATACAAAGGCAGCATACGCCTTCAATAGCCCGTGTAACAACATAAGAACCTTTACACATTTTCCACCCATAACAAACACCACCACATGGATCATAAACTGGATATAAGGAGTAATCCAACCGCACCACACAAACATGTGGGCCAGCATCGCAAACATTTTCTTATCAAACAAATACAAACAACAAAAAAAAAATTACACCCAACAGATTGCTCTATCACACTCTGGTCAGGGTCTGTCCCTTTTTATTCTTATTCCGAGCCCCACGTTGGTGCGCCAATTAATAATGTGCAGGTTTAAGCCTTGCTGGGATTGGAGAGCACGTTGCCGTTGCCCCTCCCCCACCCGCGCCGGTTGGGCCGGAAGTTAGACACAGACCCGGGCTAAAATAACAAGAAATTTAATACAACAGAGTGATAGAACAATCTGAACAACAACAGTATCAATGGTAACAACAATAAACAGCAATAACAGTGAACAAGACAAACGATATGCAGAGAAATACCGCTAGCTGCTTTACGGAAAGAAAGGTTCCCCACCGAGCCTGCCAAAGAGCAAGCAAAGGTTCCACCCCTGGACCTGACGTCAGCATGGTATGAATAACCCGGCTGGAGATCCCTTCCCTCTCTCTCTCTGCTGGGGAAACCTAACCCTATCCTAGCCGAACCAGGACACCAGCAGCTCCCCCGGCTCTGGGACCAAGCCCCGCCATCCTCTTGGGGTCCCGGGGAGCCTCTGCTCTGCCAGTGCACAGCAGCCACTGATTTGGCAGGAAGAGAAGGGCGCGAGGGCCTGGGGGTCCTCGGGGGGGATGTCCTTGCACCCTGGTCGTGCCAGCAGCAGCAGCGCTGACAGACCTTGTCCGTGCTGGAGCCCAGTCCCTCCTGTCACCTACACAGAAAGGTCATTTTGAAGGACAGCAGTGCCTTTAGCCAGGCAGCTTTGTCTACAGGGCCAGCCTTGAGTTTCCATCAAGCACCTGGAAGGAAATTATTGCCTGGGCCAGAGCTACCTTGTTAGCACAAAGGTCAAGGCTTTGGGAAGAAACCCAGACTATGTCTTTCTTCTTATACAGACTATTTCTTTGATCCATGATTGCCTCATAAAAGATAAAGAGCCAAACTGGCAAGAACCGTGAAAGCAAGCTTAGGAACCCTCCTTATTTCTTCATTTCTTCTGCTGTGCAGATCATTTCAAGGGCTGTTACTTACTCCTGAATGTACCCTGCACCATGTGGTGCTGGCACAGCTGGGCTGGAGGGGGTACATGGGGTAGTGGGGCTGGACTGGTGCGGGGGCAGGAAGGCAAACGGGAGCCACAGTGCCCCAGGAGGCTGCCAGACTTGTGGGATATCAGAATTACCTTCAACGCGCAGGCAGGCAGGGGTGCCAGCCTGGTCACTCAGAGGACTCTGGGAACCCAAGACACACCGTGAGTGGGAAGTGCAGGGAGCGCACCGTCCCCCCCAGCCCTGCCAGATGCCCTTCTGCAGCCAGAGCAGCTCCCCGCAGTCAGGACAGGACTCGCTGCTGCTCACAGTCGGCGCTCAGGGGGGATGCTGGGGGAAGATCTCATCGGGAACACGTCAGGGAATACCTTGCCTCTGGCTTCTGGCACCAGTCGAAGGGCTGAACCCCCCTTCCCACCCATAGGGACGCCTTTGGGTAAGATACGGGTTATTCCAAGTGCTTGCTCGGAAAATTTAGGTATCTCTCACTGTAGAGTTGATTTTGAATTTTGTGTGCTGTATTTATAACCTCAGTATCTGCACGTGCTTTTGCAGACAGTCTATTTATCACCGTCAGTCCATAAGAACCTGTACTTCTGTTGCTTTAATAAACCGCACTATTGGTTAATTGGCTGTAAAAGTTTCTCCCTGGGTCCCACCAAACTCTCTAAGTCTGGCCCTGTGAGCCCAGGGAGCATGACTAAGCTGCCAGTGCAGTGTGCTGCTGGTGCAGACCTGATCCTCACAGTTCAGGAAGCTGAGCACGACCAGGCTGACAGGGACAAGCTGGCATCGCTCAGAATCTAAACGTCGCCGCCTCCAGCCCCGCTGACACCTGAGGATAAACTGGGACATGAGGGGGTTTATTTTCTGCCAAATTACCCTGTAAGGTGACAGGAGTCAATGTTGGGGACACTCCAGGGATGCAGACATCACCACAGCCACTCTGCAACCACCCTGGTCCCTCTCAGTTGTGGGGCATCAAAGTGGGGGCACCCCAGGGCTGGGGATGTCCCCAAGAGCCACCTTGGGGTCTCCTGTGTGCCCTCAAAGTCATGGGGGGTGTGTCAGCATGGGGAACACCTCATGGATGGGGATGTCCCCAGGAGCCGCCTTGGTGTTCTCATGTCTAATCCCATGCCGAGGGTGACAATTTGGGGACCTCCAGGAGACCTTGGGGGATGTGTGGGGGTGTCCCCACGGCCCCCCCTGGGTGTCCCTGTGTCCCCCATCCTGGTCGGTGCTGTCGATGTACAAGCGGAGGCGGTTGCTGAAGAGGCTGTCAGCCGTCCTGGAGGTGCCAGAACCTGCAGCCCCTCCCCAAAACACCAACCCCAGGCTGTGGTGGGGCCTCGGGGATGCCAGGGCCTGTCTGGCTGCTCCTGAAACCACTGGCAACGGCACCCCCGGCCCTTCCTGCAGGGCGCCTGCCGGCCTCTGCCCCCAGTCCCGGCCAGTGCCCGGCGTCGGGATTGCAGAGTGTGCACGGGCTCTGTCCCAGCCCGTTTTTATCCACAAACGCTTTGTCTGACCGAACGCGGGTCACAGCGCGCGTTTCTGCCTGGCGGCGGCGGAGGTGGAACCGCCATCTGGGGCCTGCGGATGGTCGGCTGGGGGCGGGAACAGCCAGAGGGGCTGCTGGCCCCGCCCCTCCGCTCAGTGCCAATGGGGTGCTGGCCCCGCCCCTCCGCTCAGTGCCAATGGGGTGCTGGCCCCGCCCCTCCGCTCAGTGCCAATGGGGTGCTGGCCCCGCCCCTCCGCTCAGTGCCAATGGGGTGCTGGCCCCGCCCCTCGCTCAGCC